GAGGAGAAGGAGGAGAAGGAGAAGAAGGAGAAGGAGGAGGAGGAGGAGAAGGAGGAGAAGGAGGAGAAGGAGGAGAAGGAGGAGGAGGAGAAGGAGAAGGGGGAGAAGGAGAAGGAGGAGAAGGAGAAGAAGAAGGAGGAGGAGGAGGAGAAGGAGAAGAAGGAGAAGAAGAAGACATTTGCAGTGGGTTTAAGCCCAATAATAGCTCCCAGTCTTCCCGGGAGACAAGCCCCCTCCCACCGCCTCTCTCAGGTCAGGTGACCTCTCTGTGCCTGTTTCCTCTTCTTTCTTTAACTTTTAAACTTCTGTTTTAATTTGGTGCACCTGGGTGTCTCAGTCGTTAAGCGGCTACCTTCGGCTCAGGTCATGATCCCAGAGTCCTGGGATCGAGCTCCGCATCGGGCTCTCTGCTCTGCAAGAAGCCTGCATCTTCCTTTCCCACTCCCTCTGCTTGTATTCCCTCTCTCTGTGTCAAATAAATAAATAAAATCTTCTTAAAAGAGAGAGAAAACATTCTGCTTTTTTTTTTTTTAAGTAGTTTCCACACCCAACATGGGACTTGAGCTCACAACCCAGAGATCAAGAGTCCTGAGCTCTACCATCTGAGCCAGCCAGGTACTCCTCCTCTTCTTTAAAATGGAGAGTAAGGGTGCCTGGGTGGCTCAGTCACTGGGCGGCTGCCTTCGGGTCATGATCCCAGGACCCTGTGATCAAGGCCCACATAGGGCTCCCTGTTCAATGGGAAGCCTGGTTCTCCCTCTCCCGCTCCCCCTGCTTGTGTTCCCTCTCTCATTCTCTGTCAAATAAATAAATTTTTAAAATCTTAAAAAAAAAAATATGGGGCTCCCGGGTAGCTCAGTGGGTTAAGTCTCTGCCTTTGGCTCAGGTCATGGTCTCAGGGTCCTGGGATCGAGAGCCCCACATCGGGCTCTCTGCTCAGCGGGGAGCCTGCTTCCCCCTCTCTCTCTGCCTGCCTCTCTGCCTACTTGTGATCTTTCTCTGTGTCAAATAAATAAAATCTTTAAAAATAAAACGGAGATTAAAACAGGACCGTGCCAGCCTCGTAGGGCATACTAAGTGAATGAATGTATGTAAAATACTTAAAATAGTGCCCGGGCACAGAGCGGGACGAATAGTCATTGGCTATGGTATTAGCTATCTATTGAGTTAGCTGCATATTGGATCCGCCTTGGGGGTGTGCCTCATGACGTTGCTAACACGTACCAGCTGAGGCTGCATCATTTGGAAGCTGGACTGGGGCTGCAGGATCTGCTTCCAAAATAACCTCCTTACAAGCACCTGGGTGGCTCAGTCGGTTAAGTGCCCACTTTCTATATTGGCTCAGGTCCTGAGATTGAGCCCCATGTCAGGCTATGCACTCAGCCGGGAGTCGGCTTCCGTTTCCTCTCCCTCTGCCCCTCCCCCCTTTCTCTAACAATCAATCTTCAGAATAGCTCCCTTGCCTGGCGACAGGCTGATGTTGATCTTTGTGGGGGAGGGGACAAGTTCATCATGACACCGTGGGGATTTCTCCAAAGGGCTGGTTGAGTGTCCTCACAGCATGAAGGCCAGCTTCTCCCGGAGTAACTGATCTAATCAAGAAGACAGAAGCCACATGGTTTTTCATGATCTGACCTAGGAAGTTGCACACACCATCATCTCAATAACATCCTCTTGGTTATACCACAGGGATGTAAGGGCACGGGTGACAGGAGGCAAGAATCACAGAGCTGTTATGAACAAAGCGGCATATCACGGCTCCCAAGAACACAGCTGTGAGTCAGCTAGCCCGGTGTCAATTCCTAGCTCTGTCCAGATCATCCTGAGAATTTCAACAAGGACTTAATCTTTTATTTTGTCTTCGTCTATAAAATAGAATAATAATAGCTCTTAACTCATTTGGAGTTGCTATGAGGATTCAGTGAATACATAATCACTTTAGGATAATAGGAGCATTATGTTAAGAACACAGTAGGTGTTTGCTGCTATTTTGATTATAAGCGGTCTCTCTGCTGACAGACTGTCCCACCCCCCAGAAGACTGAAGACTAGAGATTAGTAAAGAGGGACAGAGGGACACTTTGTAATCTAGGTTCTAGAGACACAGGTGGAAAGATACACTTCATGAGACCATGTACTGTGCCAGAATGAAATCTCCAAAAAAAGAAAAACAAAAACAAAACAAAACAACAACAAAAAAAAACCAGTCCAGGGGCGCCTGAGTGGCTCAGTGTGTTCCAGCCTCTGCCTTCAGCTCAGGTCATGATCCCAAGGTCCTGGGATTGAGCTCCGCATCGGGCTCTCTGCTCAGCAGGGAGCCTGCTTCCCCCCCTCTCTCTGCCTGCCTCTCTGCCTACTTGTGATCTCTGTCAAATAAATAAATAAAATCTTTAAAAAAAAAAAAAAGAATCTGTCTTTAAAAAAAAAAAACAACAGTCCATTTCACTGCTTCCCTGGTTTAGTGAGAGATCCAAGGCCATGTGTCACCTTCCTGATGCTATTTGCTTTGACCAGAGTAGGTGACATGGGGGATAGGAGTGTCTTACCCACCATTATGGCTCCAGCTATCACACAGCAGGTACTCAAGAAACAACTGAGAAGGGGGGGGGGTGGCAGATTGTTTCATTGTTGGGTCAGAGGGATGTTCTGGAGGGGCAGTTTTTGTTTGTTTTTAAAGATTTCATTTATTTACTTGACAGATCACAAGTAGGCAGAGAGGCAGGCAGAGAGAGAGGGGGAAGCAGGCTCCCTGCTGAGCAGAGAGCCCGATGGGATGCGGGGCTTGATCCCAGGACCCTGAGATCATGACCTGAGCGGAAGGCAGAGGCTTAACCGCTGAGCCACCCAGGTGCCCCTCGGGGGGGGGGGGGGGGG